CATGCCTTACATATACTTAATAAAATGCTTTATTATTTTGACGGTTTTGTTTCTAATGTGGTTCTTTAATCTGTAGGGCTCCCTAGACTTCCCACTTGCCTATGTTTGTGCATGACTGGGAGGTTGAATGTCGTTTAAGCTTTATTTAAGTTTAAGATTTATATGAAGCATGTACAAAGGTTGCAACAGGAGCTACTATTCTAACTGATAACAGATTCCTTGTATGTGTTACATACTTGGCTAACAGTCTGGCTCTGAAGTAATATTCAGGTCACTGTTGGAGTCTTGAGCAAAGCCCTTAACCCCAACTTCTCCAGGGATGCTGGCTTGTACTCTGACCCCAATACTTTCCTCATTTGTGCATCACTGTAGACAGAACTCTTGCTAAATACATGTAAATGTAATAGCACTTTGACACTAATGATTCTGGACTGCAGAGTATTGTGCAAAGTATTGTGGAGCTCATCCCATTCTCATATTACCAACATGTGATACATTTATATGAAGAAATGACATCTCTTACAGAATGGATATGTTCACATTATGCTTACATCGTTTTACATAAATTACATGATCGGCAGTCAGCTTCTAAGTAGTTCGTATTATACTGACTTTGATTCTGCCACCTTCCGGTAAGCAAATCTGACATTCTGTGCTATTTATTTTTAAATATGCTGGATCACGTAGGAATTGAACGTGGAGCTCCTAATGTGTTTTATTGCTTTTTTGTCAATTTAATGAGCGACTAGTTTTCCCATGAGTCACTCAGTCATAACCTAACATGCTACTTCCTTTGGTTAGAGGTGTCGCTGACATCACATATAAATTTATTCTTATTTATTCAGCAGACGTCGTTGTCCAAGGGGACATGCAAGTGATGATTAGCGAGCAGATCAGCCAGTCCCTGAAGTAATTGGGGTTAAGGGCTTTTGCTCAAGGGCCCAGCAGGGATGTCATTTTGCTGGCCACAGGATTTAAACCAGCAGCCTTCTGATCAGAGGCAAAGAGTGAGGCTCATGGACCAAATGTGAGGCTCATGGACCATGACTGTTTAAGTAATTTCCAGCCATGAAAACGTTATTTGAAACACACAAGACATAAATAAGGGAAATTGACATTGAGAAATTACAATTTTCTTAATAAATAGCAAATTACCACAAGTCAATTAAATTCCTCTGGACCCTTTATGGGGTCTGAGATCAGCGATACAGCTGTAAACCGCACTCTGATGACCAAGATGTAAATGCTCAAGATGCAGAAGAATCGGGTTTTTACCCACCTAAGTCTGATGAGAAATGCAGTTTCAGATCTCGTTTATTTTCACATGTTCTTTTTATTCATTGCTATTTATTGAATAATTTTATGGTGATTAACTGTATAAGTTGCACTGAACGGCAGCTATAGGGATATTGGCAAATTTTCAGTTTGACAGGTAATCACAGTTTATAAGCTCTGTTAATGTTCTGTATTTGTTTCTGAGAGAAATAATCGCCTTCCTGTGGTTGTAATATACTGGGCTAATTTTGGTTTCCAGTTCACAAATGTTAGACTTATTAATATATTAAACATAGAGATTGGATTGTGTCCACTTGAGACTGCATTGGATCTGCACAGCCTGTTAATTGAAATGAATTTCACACCCCAGCCATAAGCCATCCAGTTTAAACCAGCCCTTTCCTTGACTTCGGATGACATCACTCAAACAGTTAAAAGAATCCATCAGGGCTGATCAGTCACCAGCTTCTGGAGTCTCTGATCACTCAAAAGTTTCAGGGGAATAAAAACTAAATCTGAACAGGGAACTGAACTTTTGCTCAAACAGGAATGTACACAGGATACTTCCAGATATCAGGTGTTTGTTACATGAAACTTGAACTTTCTGTAAAGGTCTTGGTGTCATGGTCAATCCCAGTGACTTTCTGAAAAGTAATCAATAATGTATGCAAATTTGGTACCTGCACTTCAGTTATGCACCATCTATCCATCTATCCATCCATCTTCCAAATTATTATCCTGTTTAAAGTCATGGGGTCTGTAACTTTATATCTTTAAAGATCAACAAACATTGACAGATGCATGGAGAAGCTCGCTCCCTGACCACACCCTGCTCCCAGAACATCCATGCTCTCCCGTTGTATCACATTCCTCCTCTCCCTGATTCCAGGGGGAGACAGACTCTCAGGAATGTTAAAAATGTGTAAAAAAAACCCCAAAAAACCCTAAAATCACAGAATTAAAATTGTCCTGGCTGCTCATGTTTCTCTATGTGCCCAGAGAGATTCTGAGCTATAACTTCCCTTTCAGGACAGTCTAATGTCAAGAGGGCTGCAGACACTCCTCTCCTACTCAGGGGAGTCCGGTTCAGAGCAGATGGCCGAGTAATTCAGTCACCGCCAGAAACTATCCTGATGTCCATAATGATGGATCCCAGCTGTTCTGCTGCAAAAGTTGCTTCACTTGTGATGGTCAATAGACCCACGTGATACCAGAGGAATTGGATGAAGAAACGAGGAAACATAAAGCAAACATAAAGACAAAGGACAAACCAGCAGGGATAACAAAACAGACATTGAGCTTGGAGTAACACAATGTCTGGACTGTTGTGACACAAAGCTGAATATGTGGCCAGAGGCAACAACACAGTCATTTTGCTGGATAGTCAGTGACAAACATATTTACAGGTTTGCTTTAAACTTAACTGTGTGAAACCTAAATACCATTTAAGCACTGAAGCAGTAATTAAGAAGTAATGTAGCTAGACATACTGTACTATGTGTTATTCATAGCTACACAGTGTCTATCCACAGCTGGGTGGATCGGAGAGCTGGGGGACACCATGAAGAAGGATCTTTCACGTGTTCAGCACATTTTAGTTTATGCCAACTGTGTTTCTCTAATTTTTCTTTTTCTTTTTTACTTACTTGGTCATGGTTTTCCAGTTTGCTATTCTTGTGTCCTTTCCTACAAAGAAATATTTCTGTTAAATAACCTCAACAGCATTAAAATTCTAAAAACGTTTTTTAATATTAGGGAATACATAATAAGTATTATTAGGGCTGGGCAATATGGCAAAATATTTGATCATGATATTTTTTTTATACCAACCGGTATCAATAATTATTACAATATAATTCAAGTCATTGTTTCTTTACTTCATTGCTCCATTTTTTGCTTATATTCCCTTAGAATTACCCTTAAAGATTCAGAACATGAAAAAGGTGACTGAATGGACTGCAAAATGAAATCTAATTTTAATAAATAAATCATACAAAATAAACTTTATCGTAGGGCATAGTACTAGAAAATGCTGACAGTACATTTTCTTGCTAAGTTTTTTCTTCTGACTGCCTCACTGTTCATTCCAGGGAATGGATTTGACTAGGGCAGGGCAATATGCCATAAAAATGATATCACAGTATTTTCAGAGATTTTTTATAATATTAATATTTAACACAATATTCTATAATTCATATGTAGGTGCAAAATAGACTCCTATCTTGATGGAATTTGTAAAAAAAAATATGGCACTATAACTGTTAATTATGCAAGGAAACAAGTGA